AGTACTAGGTAAGTGACATTGGGCAAAGTGCTCAAATCAAGTTGAGCCAAGTCAAGTTGTATTTACATCAAGCCAATAGCTATTGCAATTTTAACATGTACAGTATATATCATAAACACAACCACTATAAAAAAAACCCTAATTCTACCATAATAGTGATACTAAAACAATCATATATCAAAACTATATCTCTTCTACTAAAACCAAGAAGACTTGGCAAGTGCATAAAATCAATAAATTTGTTAAAAATGAAACTATACAATTCAAAACTCATTACTTGACTGTAGCTGTTTGACTGGTGTTTTTTTTTGTTTTGTTTTTTAAGTTGCCATTTTTAGCACAACCACAAAATTGTGGTTCTCTTAACATTTACATATTTACATCAGTTGCATGCACTCGAGAAAACCCACACTAGCTTGAGAATTTTGTGATTTCCAAGCTCTGAAAGAGTATACTATACCTTCCCACATTTCAGAGATGAAAACCAGGACACATATGACCAAATAACATCAATGTGTGGTCAAGATGACAAATGTTATACATGAATGAGATCACATAAATTAGGAGAGGCTTGCAGCAGTTTGCAACAACTGAAGTGAGTTGGAAAAAAAGAGGGGGAGAGAGAAACTGGGACATTTGAAAAGCATATTTGAAAATGGGATAACAGAGGATTAATTGTAACTGTCCCCACCAGATCAGGACAATTGGAGGTTATGATATACATTTCAATGCCAGACAAGTGATATCAGTCAGAGCATTCAGTTTATGGAATTCCACAAATGATCAAATCCCTTCTTTAAACATTATCTGAGTTTACTAGGTAAGGAGGATACAGATCTCATTCCCCAGTGTTGACTAAAACCATCAAGGGAGGCAAAAGGATCAGCTAAATCAGTCATTGGAAAGCACTGGAAGGAAGCTGGGACAGGTGCCACCTACCATTTTCCATATTATCTGGGAGCCTTGCTATCAACACAAGTTTCTTATATCCTCTTAATCAATTCCAAGAACTGGCAGGCAACATTGCCGAGAAGTAGGTGAGGTAGTCTCCAACATCTGCCTGTTGCTACTGATACAGTCTTGCTTTTATTAAGTTGACAAATTATGCTGGTGGCAGGGTTTGATCAGTGTGTGGCTGTTGTTTGTCAAAACAGCTGGCTGTTAAATCCAATAGCAACAATTTATCATTCATTCACTCCTAGAGATTAATTCGCATTGGCTGAAAACCAGACCAAAATAAAATGCCTTTCTTAAGCTAAAAACAAGCAACTGAAAAAAGGGATAGCCTGTCTGAAAAGGTCAGATCTGTCTTCACATGGGTTCAGCCCATCATGATTGAATAAAAGGATCGTTATTCTTTGGTGGTGCTCCAGGAAGATCTGGAGCAAATAGTAAGATTTTACTCTAAGACAATCTCAAGGGTTTGGCCCTGCATTGTCCAAACTCCCTGCTGAGAAGATGACAGGAGAACATTATATTTGGCTTGTGCAGACAGGGCCTTTTGACAATTCTCTTGGGACGTGATCATTTGTGGAATTCCAATTTTGACAATTGACAATGTAAGATGCCAGAGAGGAAATGCGAAACCAGCAGTCATGCTGAGATCTCCATGTTACCAGTATTCTCTTCCTACTGCAAGGCTGATAGACTCAGGCTCAAACTACAAATTATGTCAAATACAGATAATATAGTTTAAGGTTAGTCCTGGGCTTATTTACTCTTA